GTCTATGGGGGGGGGGGGCGGGCAGAATACCCGGAGGAGACCCAGACAAGCACAGGGAGATCATGCAAACTCCATGCAGGTCATGTCCTGACTGAGATTCAATCCGGGGAGCCCCCTGTGCTGTAAGGCTGAAACACTACCCACTGAGCCACTGTGCTGCCCCATTCATGGGGCTCAGGAACTAGTGTTCCCAGAACAGGTTGACCGCAGTACACCGGGTCTACACATACATGTGGCTCAGGAACTAGTGTTCCCAGAACAGGCTGACCGCAGTACACCGGGTCTACACATACATGTGGCTCAGGAACTGGTGTTCCCAGAACAGGCTGAGTGGCGCATACCGGGTCTACACATACATGTGGCTCAGGAACCGGTGTTCCCAGAACAGGCTGAGTGGCTCATACCGGGTCTACACATACATGTGGCTCAGGAACCGGTGTTCCCAGAACTGGCTGAGTGGCTCATACCGGGTCTACATATACATGTGGCTCAGGAACTGGTGTTCCCAGAACCGTTCTCTGTAAATGACGCCCCGCAGTGGGGCAGTACGGCGACCCCAAAGCAGAGGCTGCCATCCATGTTCCCCCAGAAACCCATTTCCAGTATGCCCAGTTCACCCCAAACCCGCTGCCGGTGAACACGGGACATGCTGCAGTTTAAACGTAATAAGGAAAAGGAATTTGGTTCCTGATGTGGGGAAAAACGCACATCAATGCGTTATATAAATGCGCGCGTCGACGCACACCAACCCAAGTGCGCTTAGTGTACGCCAGGAGGTGTGCAGCCGGCATTTGGTGTGACGGTCCAGTATTTGATGCGGTGCTGCGTGAAGCCTCTGCTCTCTGGTCCGGGCCTCGGGCCACAGACATCATTATCCCAGCTGCCGGGAAGAATCACTGCGCTGCTGCTGGCTGCTGAGGACATGAAAGCAGCGGGATTGTGAAATGTGTGTGATTGTGGGATTTGTACTGGTGAGTAATGGCGCTTGGAATGGTGTCCTGAGGTCAGCTTTGCTATTCATCACCCGCTGAGCATTGTGTGTGTGTGTGTGTGTGTAATCCTCCCAGCAATGGCTGCCATTGACTTTCCCTTCTGTCATCAATGAGTCCTCTTCACACCTCCAGGTGGCTCCCTCCAATGCCCCGTCTGTGCAGGAACACTGCCATCTAGTGGCCGAAAACACATATTACAGCTGAACCATTATAGGAAAGGCAAAGAGCACCTGTTATGTAGCTGGAGGCTGTGAGCGAGGGGGCAGCTCCATGCAAAAAGTTTAAATTAATACTTTATTATTTTTCCTTTCAATATTTGTATTTCAGTTCTTATATACAAGGGGCGATACATTGCAATGCATAAGTATACCACAGCATAAAGAAAGCAATGTAGGGAACATTAGCTGCCACGTTATACACTGTGAGGGTTATGCACAAAGCTGCCGTAGGCAGCCGAGTGAATAACCGACCCGAAGTGAACCGACTTCAGGCTTGTAGGGCTTTTTTCAGCCGTACAACGGCTGAAATCAGCCGTATGTCGGCTGGCTCAGCGTGTTCGGCTGAGCCGTAGTGCAAAAGGAGTTTGACTCAGCCAATCCAACATCTGGATCAGCTGATCCGAACCTCCGGCAGGCTACTCGCTGCCGTTCGGCCTATTCTCATAGGGGCAGAAATGGCAGTGAGTGAATAGCTGAATGCCGCCGAACGGCATTCTGCTCGGCTTTTCTGATCGGTACCTCCGTGGTACCGAGCGGAATAGAAAAACAGTGAAAATTTTTTTTACAGTGACAGCTAGCTCAGCCCGTTTCCTATTGGCTGTGACCTTCTAGAGCAGGTCCCAGGGCAATGAATAACAACTGGGCGGAGCCGCCGTGACATCACCGCCAGCTGCACCGAGTTGTTATCGTGTAATGACAGTTAAGCGTCCCCAGGTAACCAGGGGACTCTGAACTGTCACTGCAACTGGCCAGAGTCAGCCATGAGGTCACAGCTGTCAGTTGCCAGGCTTTTGGCCGGCCGTTCGGCCCGCTATGGGTTTCACCTCGGCTCAGTCGACTGAATAGCCCATACTGAACCGAAGGGTTCCGGATCAGCTGGAGCTACGGCTGATCCTTCGGCTAGCTTTGTGAATAACCCTGCGTGTGTAGTTTATTTGGGGATTCCACAATGTCATGTTTACATCTGAAGTTTATTCGGCTTATATTTGGCCTTCTCTGGTTCCTCTCATGAACATGCTGCTGATATTTTTAAATATTTCTGTTTTAGGCCCAGTGATGTGATCACTGGGTCCCTTAGTTTTTCTATACAATGCAGGCAGATCATGGCTGGTGGGAGGGGCCGGGAAGGGGGCTGTACATAGCTTCCAAAAAACATCACAGCGCTCTGCCTCGGTACTGCTCTCAAGAGCCCTCAGCTCTGATGCAAGCAGTGGGCTGGCTCTTGGGAGGAGTTATGCAAATATGAAAATGCCTTGATGGGTGGATGAGAATCTACAGGAGTCGGGGGTACCTAGGCAGGGTGCATTTGCATGCCCACATGTGGTGCTGAGCCTCCGTGATTGATTCGGATGGGCTGGCAGCTTGAGCCCAGCGTGGCGTAGGCAACCTTGGCACTCCAGCTGCGGTGAAACTACAAATCCCATTGAGGTTGCCTAACCCTCGCATTGGGTATGGTCATTCAGAGACCTGCCTTTTCCTTCTACTCATAAGGTTTAAAGTCTAATGTTTAGAGAAGTGAAGATGGGTAGGTATGCATGTGCAGACACATTCAAGGCTGCAGATAACAAAAATAAACGGTTCAGTGGTTAGTAAATCCTCATAGTCTAAAAGAAAAGAAAAAAAAGTGGGCGGGTTGCTGCCATAGTGGAATATTGTCAGGTGTGCGTCCCGGGTTTCAGCCGCTGTCATTCCCCTCCTCAGCCTGGTACGGGGTCAGCGAGCTCCAGCACAGCGCCGTGGCTCTGCAGTCACTTCCCTGCTGATAACCCGTCTTGTTTGCTTTTCTTTCTGCAGATACCAGACAAGTCCAGACATCTCCTTCATGGTCCTACGACCAGTCCTATCAGTACCTTGGATCGATTGCCACCCCATCCGTGCATCCAGCCACACCCATCTCACCTGGACGAGCCAGCGGAATGTCTTCGCTCAGCGCAGAGATCTCCAGCCGATTATCAGGTGAGAGCCCGGGATTACCATCAAAACAATCAGCCAGTGACATCATCACCATCATCACCCAGCAGGCAGAGACAAGGCCAGTCACCCTGCACAAGCAGAGAGAGCAGCAGTGATCGGTTTTTATTACAGGAGGGGGCGGAGACAAGACCAGTCACCCTGCACAAGCAGAGAGAGCAATGATCGGTCTTTATTACAGGAGGGGGCGGAGACAAGACCAGTCACCCTGCACAAGCAGAGAGAGAGCTGACACAAGATGTAAATATAACAGGAAGCCAGTAGCTGTTTCAGGAAGTGCCTGCCGGGTGTCTGACTGAACTGACAATGATGTAAAATCTCCACACAAGTTCAAGGGAAGCTGTTATGGTTTTTGGTCAGTTTTATTGAACTTTTTTGAAAGTTTGCAAGTTTATAAAATGTGTAAAATCATTTTTCTATAAACATTTTTACGGGACACACACACAGTGCTGTGGTACTTACAAATGATAATGGGCTTTCTCATAGGAAAGCCCAGCACCACCATAATGTTTTTTGTCAGCCTTAGGTAGAGCCTTTTTGGATGACTTGGACTAGAACATTGATGT